ACCTCAAAATATAAATCTGACTTTGGAACCTACTACTAATGTTAACAATATGTCAAACATTCCAGTACACTATGTTCTGATGTTTTTGATAAGGAAGGGGATGATACTCTCCCTCCTCACCGAGATTATTGATTTGTTACCAGGGGCTCCACTACCCTATGGTAGGATATGTCCTCTATCGGAGCCTGAATTACAAGTATTAAAAGAGTACATTGATGAAAATTTAAGGACAGGTTTTTAAAACAAGGACAGAGGCCTCTGTCCTTGTGTGGATTATCACCCACTGAATGCTATTATCATTAAAAATAAATATCTGATACCTCCTATTTCTGAATTAATGGAAATATTGTTTTCTGGTACTATATACAGCAAGATAGTGGAGTGGAGCTTATAACTTGGTGAGGATTAAAAATGGAGATTAATGGAAAACTGCAGTTCTCATTATGGACATTATGAACATTTAGTTATATCATATGGATTATGTAATGCTCCTGCTACATTTCAATGGTTTGTCACTGATATTCTGTAGAATATTCTAGACATATATGTGGTAGTATACCTGAATATACACTATATTGCCAAAAGTATTGAGACACCCCTAAAATCATTGGATTCAGGTGTTCCGTGAAATTTCCTTGCTACTAAATATTCCATGGTCAACTGTTAGTGGTATTGTAACAAAGTGGAAGCAACTGGAAACAACAGCAACTCAGCCAGAAAGTAGTAGGCCATGTAAAATGACAGAGCAGAGTCAGCGCATGCTGAAGCCCACAGTGCGCAGAAGTCGCCAACTGTTTGCAGAGTCAATAGCTACAGACCTCCAAACTTCGTGTGCCCTTCAAATTAGCACAACAATAGTGTGTAGAGAGCTTCATGGAACGGGGTTCAGTGGCCAAGCAGCTGCATCGAAGCCTTACATTACAAGTGCATCACAAGTACAATGCATAGCGTCGGATGCAGTGGTGTAAAGCATGCCACCACTGGACTCTAGGGAAGTAGAGACATGTTCTCTGGAGTGATGAATCACGCTTCTCTGTCTGGCAATCCAATGGACATGTCTGGGTTTGGCAGTTGCCAGGGGAACGGAACTTGCCTGATTGCATTGTGCCAAGTGGAAAGTTTGGTGGAGGGGGATTATGGTGTGGGGTTATTTTTTACGGGATGGGCTTGGCCCCTTAGGCATCAGCATACCAAGATATTTTGGACAATTTCATGCTCCCAACGTTTGGGATGGCCCCTTCCTGTTCCAACTTGACTGCGCAGCAGTGCACAAAGCAAGGTCCATAAAGACATGGATGAGCGAGTTTGGGGGGGAAGAACTTGACTGGCCTGCACAGAGTCCTGACCTCAACCAGATAGAACACCTTTGGGATGAATTAGAGCATAGACTGCGAGCCAGGCCTTCTCGTCCAACATCAGTACCTGACCTCACAAATGCGCTTCTGGAAGAATAATCAAACATTCCCGTAGACACACTCCTAAACCTTGTGGGCAGCCTTCCCAGAAGAGTTAAAGCTGTTATAGCGGCAACGGGTGGGCCAACACAATATTGAAGCCTACGGACTAAGACTGGGATGCCATTAAAGTTCATGTGCGTGTAAAGGCAGGCGTCCCAATACCTTTGGCAATATAGTGTATTTTGATATGTTCTACCACAGAGAATGAAGAATCTGAGTGTGTGAAGACTGTATTATCTCTACTAAGGGCTAATTGCTTGTATGCAAAACTAGAAAAAAGTGCTTTCAATGTAAAAAATGTAAATTTCCTGGGGTATGTTATTTGAACTGGTTGTATAGAGATGGACACTTTCAAGATTCAAGCCATATTGTCCTGGCCAGTACCTACAAACAAGAAATAGGTACATTATTTGATTGTTTTTTTAATTTCTATAGGAGATTCATATGTAATTTCGCAAAGGTTGTTCAGCCAATTACAGTTCTCACAAAACAAAAAGTAAAATTTTGAATTGACTGAACAAGTTGAAAAAGCTTTTAAAAAGTTGAAGGGGCTATTTACTTTTGCACCTATCCTAATTTTACCTGTGCCCAACAAACCATGCTATGTTGATGTAGATGCCTCAGATACAGCTGCAGGTGGTGTACGATCACAGAGATCCGGTGCAAAAGAACTTCTACATTCAGTGGCCTTTTTTTCACTCTTCTTTACTCCTGCTGAGAGAAATTATGATGTTGGAGAAAGATAATTATTAGCAGTCAAACTTGTGTTAGAAGAATGGATGCATCTACTAGAGGGTTCCAGCACACACATCACTGTTTATATAGACCATCACAATCTGGAGAACTTACATACAGCTAAAAGATTAAAGCCACGTCAAGCTCGATGGACTCTTTTCTTCAGCTGGTTCCCCCTATTGATAACTTACCATCCAGGTTACTGAAATCGTAAGGTTGATGCTCTTTTTGAATTGAAACAAACACATCTTCTCTAGATCCTGAATCTTCTACTATGCTAAATAAAGGTGTTTTTTTTGGCTACTATGTCATAATTATGGAATACCCTTAGATACCTTACTAATGTGAATGATAACCTTTTCTCAAAGCCCCCACTTAACTTCAAAATGGACTTTTATTGTATAAAGAAAGAATATATGTTCCTCTTGTTGCAGCCGCTGAAGTACTACAATATTGCCATGACATTCCCATAGGGGATCATGGAGGGATGCAAAAAACATGGAAACTGATTTGAAGAACCTTCTGGTGGTCTTCCTTATTAAAAGATATGATGTCTTACATTACTACCTGTTCCATTTGTACTCATGTTAAAGACAGCCACAATCACCTTCAAGATCTTCTTTTGCCTCTGCCTGTTCTTTTCAGGTCTTGGACTGACATTTCATGTCCATGTTTAATTACCCCCAGAACATGGTTACACTTAAATAGTGGTGATAGTGGATTGTTTTAGTAAAATGTCTCATTTTATAGCCACAAAGAATCTACCTAACACCAGTCGGATGGCCACTTTATTCATACAAAAAGTGTTTTATTTTCATGCTTTACCAGAATGCATTGCTACCGATAGGGAAACTCAATATACACTGAAATTCTGGGCTGTTGTAGAGGTCTTTATATCCAATGCTCCTTGTCAAGTGCTTGTCATCCTCAATGAAATGACCAAACAAAACATACCAACCAAACCTTAGAACCTTAGAAGTTCCTTTTTCAAGAGCAATTTGGTCTATTCCCAAGCTTACTATTGTGTATCTTGCTAGCTAGTGGATGTGACTCTTTTGTGTCTTCTTTATGTCCTTGGTTGCCCTGTTTATGCTTGTACTTCACCTACCCTAACCCTAGTTGTGTTTTCTGACTATGGGGGGAATTTACAAAGGGTGATGGCTATGATTAATAGAGGTTGCCTACGTTCATGCAACAAATGTTGTTATTTGCGACAAATTCATGGAAAAGTCAGAATTGTGTCTGTGACATCACACTGTCACAAACACCTAACAGCACTGTTGAAATACATACTAATTGTAGCTGATTGTTCCACACATAGTTCTTCCACACCTCTCTGGTGGTGAGGGAGGTTTGGGCAATGTAGATGTGACTTAGTTTAGCAGTCTAAGTGACCAGGTTATCTAAAAATGAAAATATAAATAAAGACACACACACACACTGGCATTACTACTTTTTTGATTACCCAAAAAACAAACATTATTGAAATAAACACACCCCGAATGACTAATTTTCTGACACATTTCAATAAAAAAAGTCACTTTCTGTGGCTTGTCCCTCAACACAAAGTTGCCTGGTGCTCATCTCAGCTACCTGCCTGTCTCAAAGCGAGACTGAGGAGCCAGCAGCCAAGTGCCTGTTTTTATAGTCTCCTGAGTACAGGACTTTATAAATGCAGGAGCTAAGACTCCAAGCTGGTGTATACCAGGGGATGGGGGATTGGCTTTTTTTTCTATCTTTGAATTACTGCTCAGAAAAGGGGCAGTTCAAGACTCTGGTCACCTCCTGCAAGAGAGGGACTCTGGTCACCTCCTGCAAAGAAAAAACAACCGGTGAATATTGCACACTTGACAATACATCGCTGTGTGAAAATTAGCATTGCCAGATGATTTGCACACATATGTTTCTGGTTGACATTCAGCTTCAACATACTAAGGCTGGAAACAGACTTAGAAAATAGCTTGATGTGGTTGGCCTGACAAAATCTGCCACAAATGTACAAAATCATTACCCATTAGCAGTGAATTTTCATGGAACATAGCCACTAAATTGTATAAGGATTAATGCTCATAAAAAAATAGAAAACTGGAGAGAACACAGCTAGTGAATTAAAAAAAAGTTCAGACATGACAAATAAATGAAGAATTAGGCAAATGGCATCTTCTTACAGTAAACATCAACTATTAACACATTACCCAAACAGCTTGTACAACAAAAATGTTAAGAAATTTTTAAATATTATTGAAATCATGTGCATAGATAAGAACTGCTCCTGCCTGGTCCTAATTGCCGCTTAATTCTCTTTATTACAAGTTTCATAGATTGCTTGTGAATTCAGTACTACACTTACACTATGAACTGTTGGAAATAAAAACTTTCATAATTTGTTACAGCAGTCAGTATTTACACTGAAAATTTCACACTTCATCTGTGAATTTGGCACACACATTGGATTATTATCAATACCAAGAGAAATCTCTATACATTTTATTATCTTATCCTTTTTTATTATTATTGGCAACGGTTTCTTTTTGTTAATGGTACATACTTAAATTAGTGCTGCATAATAATTTTTCTACTTTTTATACATAATTTGTTTAAATTTTTATTCATGTAAACAATCAATCAACCATGATACTTTTAGGTATATTTCTTCCATTATTTGTTGCATGAATGGAACAATTCATTCATAACTAGTTAAATAATGTCTTTATATTTAAAAAAAATAAATGTAGCATAAAATGAAACACCATAAAGCAATTAAAAAAAACTGAAATGATATGCATGTTTTCTCTCTTCTGCTTTCAGGGATTTGGTTTTGTAACTTTTGAAAATAGTGCTGATGCGGACAGGGCGAGAGAGAAATTGCATGGCACAGTAGTAGAAGGCCGCAAGATAGAGGTGAGGGTTTAAAATACTTTTAATGTATCTTAGAATTTGCTCATTCATTTGTTATTTATATGTAAAATTGATTATTTATGTTTGGATTTAAAAATGCTCTCTTTTCCATTTTCTGTATTTCAACAAATTTCTTAGACTTGTGAATATATTTGTTTTAATTTACAGTTTTGGTATTTTGGTTAAAATAAATACATTAAATCTTTTCTCTCTTTAGTAGGTACCTGTTTTAGGATTTTATTCCACCATTTTGCAAATCCTTTAAATATGTTAAGGATCTCAGAAGAAGCTAAAATAGAACAATATGAATGGTCTTTTTTTTACTGCAGAGAGTATAAGAGCTTCACAGAAATGCAAAGGAAATCAAAGGGGAGAACATTAATCTCACAAAGCCCTTAAAGCCCATTAAAAAGCTTCATGACACCAACAGATTTATTCTGGTTCAAAATAACATACTACCCAAAACAGAGCATACTTTTACTTTTCTTTATCTAAAACTGGGAAAGCTTAACCACCTTGATATTTTGAAAATTGTATTCTGTTTTAAAATACAGAATTTATAAAAACAATCATATTTCAGTATATATATATATATATATATATATATATATATACAAAATAATTAACAAACTTGATGAATAAGACAACTTTTTGTTTAGATAAACACATCTGTTTAATTAAAAATGGCAAATAAATAATAACAAAAATGTCAACAAAATAAAAACGGTTACAGTGCAATTATAGTCCACAAAATATTTTTGACTATCTTACAGCTATGCAGTGTTCACATATTCCCTCACTGGCACTGACATCTTTGCCCAGTCTTCTTTCGGGTTTGGCTTTTTTAGCCACCTTTATTGGCCAGCCCGGAATTATGTAACTTCCTTGCATGCATGGGAGTTAATTCATTCTGGCACCAGGGCACGCTGAGAATGAACTACATGCTCAGTTCAATGTACATACTAAAGAAGTTTGCATTGGAAGCAGACAAGTTTTATTGCAAAAGAGGCATAGCATGTCTCACATGCAATAAAAAAGCCTGACTGCTGACACTTTAAGTAAAGTTCCACTTTAAAAGAAAGAAAAATCTAACAAGCTAGTAATTAAGCATATGACTCAAAATTAGACATTCATTAAAAAAAAAAAAATTATAATTTGAAATTGTTGATAACATTTCTAAGTAAACATTATCCAGAGGATACAGAATTTTAGGGCTTCAGTTACTAAAAGAGTAGCTTTTACTTAACCTTGTTTTTATTTCAAATATGCAACAAAGCTCAAAGGAAATGTCTATTTTGTTTGATATTATATTTAAATTGAATTGAGTATATAAAGTTAAAATACAACAGTGTGCACATTACACTTTAGAATTTACTCTCTTAGTTCTTTAAACTCTTAGATGACTAGAATAGATACTATTCACAAAACAATTGTAGAGACTGTTCTGTAAAAAGAATGTTGTTCTATATAGGGCTGTTTTATTGAAGTCCAAATTTATCATTTTAGTGGGTTCTCAGAATACAAAACATGCTTGTGAATTATAAATTATGCAAAACTGTTTAATTTGCTTCTAATGTCTCTTTTTTAATTTCCAATTGATATGTGTTGCCTTATTGAAGTCACTTGGTTGGTATCACATGTTGATTCAATGCGAGAAGTAAACAAGTATTTTTTTTTGGGGGGGGGGCGTTGACATTAGAAAACTAAAATAAATGTCACCTTTATAGAACAACTAAAATGCATGAAAGAGAAACATCTCAGATAAGGGGAAAAGCTAATTCATTTTTTTTATACTTAGGTTAATAATGCTACAGCACGCGTGATGACAAATAAAAAGACTTTGAATCCATACACAAATGGTAAGCTTTTCTTTCTGTATGTTTTCCATTTACAACACAGTGTTGATTTTTAGAATATAGCATGTGTATTAATTGACAGACACACACACAAACACTACATGACACTGATAAATTACTGAATAGAAAAAGAATTAAATTAGTGGGTGATTGACTTAATAGAGTACTTATTATACAAAACCAATAAAGCTATATTCACTCCAATGACTGGTTTAAAGTAAAATTCAATAATTAGAATTTTCTATTTACCTGAATGGATGTTTGGAGTAAACACAGGCCTAGGTGGGTCACAAACTACACCTTTGTGTAAATCACCATAATTTTTCTGAGGCCAGATGTTTCATTAAAATCCCTTGTTTTATTATGTTTTAAAGATGTAATGGAATAAAAAAAAACATTTTGAGCTACAATTTAACCGCTTGAAGACCAGGTGTTTAGACCCCCTTCCTGGCCAGGCCATTTTTCAGTGTTCAGCGCTGCAGTACTTTGACTGACATTTATACCATTTTTTGGGGACAGATAGAGCTTTCTTTTGGTGGTATTAAATCACCACTGGAGGTTTTATTTTTTTACTATATTCCGGAGAAATTACTGAAAATTTGTAAAAAAAAAAGTTTTTTTTACATTATGTTATAAAACAACTAATATTACCCACTTTTTTGGTAAAATATAAAAGACGGGGTCACGTTGGGTAAATAGACACCAAACATGTCAAGCTTAAAAATTGTGCGCACTCGCAAAAAACTAGCATACCCAAAATTGGCCGTAGGCGACGCTTTAAAAGCTTTTACAGCTCATCAGTTTAGTGTTATCAGTGATTGATGGCCCTAGAACTATTGCTCTCATTCGGACGTTCGCGGCGATATGTAACATGTGCGACGTAATGGGCGCAATTGTCGTTTTCGCAGGTATGCGCACCTGACACATGTTTACATGCGTGTATGTAGGGGTGGGGACTTTAAAACATTTTTTTTGTTTTTTTTAGTTCTTTTTTATGTGTAACTTTAAAAAGATTTGGGGGGAAACTTTAAATTGTTTTCCTATTTTTTTTCCCACTTAACTTTATTGCTATCACAGAGGGGGCTGAGAAACCACTCTATGTGATAGCAAAAGAGGTGACAGGTCCTCTTTATGGAGACATCAGGGGTCTCCAAGACCCCTAATGTCACCTAGGACCCCCCCCCTAAAGAAGCTGAAGAAGCTGATAAAGCAGAGATCTGCTTCATCTGAAGCTGGAGAGTGACACGAGAATGCGGAAGTGATGTAATATACACCACTTCGGCATTCTGACAGTGGAGAGGGGACCGGAAAGAGATCGTGAACCGACCTCCCTCTGATCCCCTGTGACAGAGGCAGTATGCTGGTCCAGGGCTCACACCGAAGCCCGGGACCAGCTTGACAGCGGGAGATTGGGAGGGGGGAGCCGCGGAGGGGGCGCACGCCACGGGACATCATACAAGCGATCCGCCGACGCTTGTATATTAACGGGCATCGCTGCCTGTTTTTAAATGACAGGCATTTCCCACGCATCCCACACATCCAAGAAGCTCCCGGCCGGCCATGTATACACAATGGCCGGCCGGGAGGTGGTTAAAGAACTCACATACAACCTTCTAATAGTTTCTTATGGCAGATTTTTTAATATAATGTTACACTTATCTCACATATCTCTGTTTCAAATTTCTGAAGATAGGGTCACTGCCAATATGCAAATCAGAAGATCTTTAATTCCAGCCAAACATAATATTTGTTTTTGTTACTCCCCTGCTTTAAGGCCCACTACACACATACATACTAATGCTTTGCATTAACGCACATGCTTTAACTTGCATTGTGTCACATAGTAATGTGCAATGAATTAAGGCAGCCCATTGATTTTAAATGAACTGCCAAAAAATAACAAAAAACAGACCTGTAGCAAAACTTCAAATGCACTGTATACCATTCATGATTGTCTGAAAATGCTAGTTACCTGGCTGACATCCTAACCCTCTTAAATACTTGGAATCACTTACCTGAAAAGACATGCACATAAGTAGTTCTGAACTTTCCTGAGCAGTGTAAAAAATCAATTTCATCTTCCAAATGTACTGGTTATAAAAAATTTATAAATAAAGAAAAATAATCCGAGAAGTATATTTAAATATAGGAAGAGGCCTTTAAAGGTTACACAAGCTTTATATCACAATTTTAAACTCTTGGTTTTTTTGAAACCATGCTGGATCAACCCAATCAGGGTATGTATTTTGTATGTATGTCAGTATTTTGATTTAAAACTTTTACTTTACATTCTAGCTCACAGTTCAGTTTTTATCATCCATCTATATTGCTGTAAAGAATACATGCGTAAAATATTTGTATTCATATTTTATTGCATGTTTTGTTCACATGGATACAAATAAATACAATATTATTAAACAGTGCTGTACTCTAAAGAATATTCCATGCACCCCAGATAGTGGCATGATGAAAAAAGCAAGATTAGGAATAAACTGTGCTGACATAGTGTGAACATCAATAGTTAATCAGCACAGTAATATTTAGTAGGGCTGCTAAATGAACAGGTTCTGGTGACTCACCCTCATTGAGATGGCTCTTAAATTTATAATACAAAGCCTGTGTAAAATACCGACCAAGTTTAGCACATTCTTAGGAATGCCACATTTAGTGATATTGCATAAATAGATAAGCAGTATGAAAGAACAGTGATTTCTCTAATGACCAGCCATTTGCTGTGGCAAAATGTCAAAGAATAATTGACATTTAATAGAGCCAGACAAATATAGCCATTAACACCCACAACAAAGAGCTTACCTCCTTAAATGAAAACACCAGGCTTGGTGGCAGTTCTTTCACTAAGAGAGTGACATTAGCTCTTCTCACACATGAATAACCCACACACTTATGAGCCAGCACATATCTTGCTCTCATGATAAAATACATTTTAATTGGTGTTATTTTCGTCATGAGGAATTCTTTCCTAAGTTGACTCATAAAAAAAGTTTGTTGATACAGCCATCAGTTATTGTAGTGGTAAGGAAATTAAATGTGAAGGTGCTTCTCAGCTCAGTGTGCATCGACCTGTACCTGAGAAAAAAATCCTGAACATATTGAAGTCCTATTAGTGCAATATATAGATCTTTTTGACTTCTTGACATAATTGTTTGAAGGATGTGAGATTCATTAAAATCTTACATCTCCGGCAGTTTACAATCATATGATATATGATTTCCTAATTATAAAATGCATACAGAATACAAATGCCTAATTTAAATATTTCTACTTACTTAAACATACACAATATTGACATTTTAAAGAGAAAGTGTAGGCACACAATTTAAACATATATTTGTGAGCTGTTTTACATGCCAAATAATTTGTAACTCTGTTCAGTTTTCTGATGTAGACACCCCTGCCAGATACTATACAATATCTTGGCCATTTGCTTTTCTCCAGCGCAGTCATAGCAAAGCAACTTGGTCACAACTGTGGCTAGCTAGTGAATGGACTGAAGCTCTGTCGCTGTACTCCAGTCAGCAATCTCCATTGTTTAAAAATCAGCACTATGCTTGCAGGATGATTACTGATAAATCTAGTCACTTCCTTAAAATGCCTCAAAAGGAACTCATACCCCTGGTCATCTCCTACTGGCTTGGTTCAACAGAGCACACAGTCCTTGCTATGGTACTGTTGTGCATAATGTAACCCTTGAAAGTCTTTCAAATATGCACAGAGGTAGTTGATTATATGAAGGGTAGAATGATATCATGCGGGAAAGCCCAAATTCATTTGTGAAAGGTAAGACTGATCTGTCTTTTTATGGCTAGGATAGCAGATTTTGTATCATAAAGTTGAACTCTTGTAATACATTTGTATTAGTGATTGTTTCTTGGTTTTTTTAATGTATTTTTTTTTAGATTTGTGTGAAACTTGGCCTCTGAGCAGGAGCTTACTGTAAAAAAAAACAGTCACTGCTGCTCTCTCTCATTTTGTAGGATGACTGGTCTTGTATCTGACCACTCCTATAGTTTTCTGGGTGGGCCTGTTAGGTTCCTCTCACAGCTCTGATCTCTTCAAAGGCTAGGCTCCGCACAGTGATCATGTCTTAACTACTTTTACAAGGTAATAACTGGATCTCCAAAGGTATTTGTTGTACACAAAGTGATTTTATATCCTTTGTGGCTATTGAGGAGTATAATTAAATGAGAGTTTTTTGTGTCTGGAGTTCATCATCATTACTTTAGAACTGTGGCCAGGCTATAGACAGTAAAATATTTACATATTCATACCAAGCAGTAAAAAAGATTTAATACAGGCCTGAGTGCAATTTTTTAAATTCCTGCTGCTATTTTTGCTGCACAGTGCAGTAAAAATGTTCTTACTGTTGTCAATATCCTCATTGTTTACTAATAAAAATGAGGGGAAGCCAGTGACCAATATGCTATTGGATACATGCCAAAAATTCACCCTTTGCTTGGCTTCTCAGACCTATAAGGTGCACACCAGCATTACAGAACTTTACTTCGGCAATATGAAAGGGAAAAGGACAAGTAGTGCTTGACCATGTTGCTGTTGAAGAATTTGAATACTTCTGTGAAGAAGATGAAATGAAAAGACAAATGTCTGGGATAATTGATAGATCATATTATTAGTTTATTATTTATTATTATGCTGCTCCTGAACCACATCTAATTTCACAGACATGACCAGTGCCTGTGAAACCCCGAACCTCCTTCCTCCCCGAACCTCCTTCCCCCCCCCCCTCCCCGACCCCCTGTAGCGCTGGGCCTGCCAGCGACTGCCAGAGGTGCCGCGCGTGTCGGGATCCTCTGGCAGTCGCCGGCCAGCTAAATTAGGACCCCACCTGGAGCTCCTCCCAGCGGACCAGCGTTGACTCGCCGCTGCTCTGCCGCACCGAAGGTAAGTGAAAAAAAAAAAACATAGCGCAAGCGCATTTAGACAAGTACATGTCAAAATGCCCTGTTTTTTCTGCCCTCACCCTG